AAAATGGGGCGAGCATGCTTAAAAAATCACCCTGTATATTGTTAGGGAATATTACCAATTCACAGCAATACCCATCAAATATTTTATAAAATCGATTTTCTGAAAATCGTGATTCTCCCGACTTATCCTATAACTGACATAGATTTTGTCATTTTGGAAAGTTTGGTGTAAACGCATGTATATATGAGATTGTATTGCTCTTGCCTTTCGTTTCCACACAATGAGATTTACACAAATGTAGCGTGTGCGTAGTTATCCCGTGTCCAATCATATCACATCGCAAACTAATGATCATTTTACACTCATATAGGTCATCTAAAGACGACGGGAATACGTATTACTTGAAATATCGTTCCTTATTGTTAAATAGACATGAAAAGTCTCCTCAATCCTGATTTTATAAGGAGTTCGTTATGGACAACTTTCAAAAATTGTGCATAGAATGTGCATATTATTAGTCTATTGTTTGTGTGGATCATGTTACCGATACTAAACAATAAACATTGTAGTTTACGACATTATTTTATAAGAATACAATATAATATACACAAGGTATAACAGAAAGACTTGACAAAAAAAATATGTAAATTATGCCAACTAAACGTATGACAAAAATTGTTAATATTATATGATAAATAAATAATAATTTAAGAAATATACTCATGTCAGCAAATTCTCAAAAATCATATTTTTAAAAAAGTTATATTATTACGTTCCAAATTAATTAAACCAAAAAAATATTAAATTTTAAAGAAATTCTAAAAAATAAACTACTTGACTTAAATACATCTTTCTACCGTAAAAATTATTCTTATAATCAGATTCACAAATACCTAGGCTATTTTGAATTTATCCAAAAAGTGTTTTACTAAATTAATATTTTTTTTTTCTGTACTAAAAAATAAATTTATTATACATGTAACGCTAGGGCCACTTAATGGAAAAATAAATAAATAATATTAATTTGAACAAAAGTTATTTTTATTTTTCCTAAAGTTATTCCAAAAGTCAGTTCTATCTGTTACACTTTTTATATATTATAAAAATATTGTTCTGGTGGACATGTATAACTGTATATAAGTATCTATTATTGTCTGACATAATAGGTATATGGTAACACATTTAGTAACTGAAAAACATAATATTTTTTTATTGTTTTTGAAAAAACATAATTTGAAAAATGTTTTGATCGACGCCAAGTAAACTTTATGACCAGCTTAAATTGTTTTCCTCTTTTTAGCCTCTTCTTGTCATATTACTAGTTTACGGTAGACAAATGATAGGGACCATCGAATTTCCATAATTTTTTATAAAATATTATATGTTTAGTGCCTATATAAATTAAAATTAACGTGCATTATATCGTTTATGTTTTTATTTCAGAGTTATCGAGTCAACAGCTACTGATCGCCGATAACAGGTCAAGCCATTTACAAGCCGAACTTCTGCAGATATCCTCGCAAGATTGTCCAAAAAAGTTTACTGCCGCCAATCTTTAGACGCATTTCAGAAACAAATTTTTACGCGGTGTCGCACATCCAACATAGCCTTTATTATTGTATAATTTAATATAAAATAATAATATGTAATATTTTATTTGATATGAAAAGTTTATTGTGTGACAAAACATTATTTTAAGTATACTATTATCATAATAATGTTATTTTAATATGTCATTTGTAAAATATTTGTTTGACCAATTTAATGTAATAAAATTATAATAATAATGAATATTATTATAATATCAACAATGCTATTATAGTATTATCACAATAGTTCATCCGTGGCCAGTGTTGAACTATTGTTAGTTGTTACAACTTACAAACACCACAGTGTTATTATTAGGGTAAGATTATTTATGACCTTAAAAACTAGAAAAATGCCAGAAAAAATTTCAAAATACGTCCTTAAATAAATAAAATATGACATAAATAAATACGTTAAATTTTTTATATTATTATACAAATGTGAAAATAATATATTTAGAGTTTTATTTTGCAAGTTTTCTTCTGAAATATACAAAATATATGATGTGCATATTCCTCAAAACCTCTAGATATGCAAAAATATGCAAAATAAAATTTAATATATTTGATTTTATGTCGTACGAAACGAATTTATAACTTGGTCTGCAATGTGCGTGACAAAAAGAAAAACTATGAAAAAGTCATAAAAATCCTAATATTAGTTATTTTGTGACACGAAGCTACAAGCTGCGCAATTGCCGATTGTGGTAGGTCGTATGGTTAGGATAGGTAAGTCGTATGGTGATTTAAATATTATCTAACATGGTGGCATAATATTATATAATTTAAGAACAGAATTTTATTTTTTTGTTTTTATTAATATTATTTTATACGACATATTATGCAACGAAGAATGGTAAACTATAACTTCTAACGAGATGTCCGAAAAGCCGGAAAAATGTAGTTGCGACAGCTATGTACCTAATTTGCATAACCAAGACGCCGTGTGATAGAAAAGAGCGGTTATTAAGTTAGTAAATATTACTAAAATATCTTTCCAATGTAATACAATTAATTATATGACACTATGACAGGTATACAATTGTTTCTGAAAGAAAATTAGGTTTAAAATATTTTATTTTAATTTGGTAAATTACATTTTACTCCGTAGTAATAATCATTTTTGATAAAATCGAATTATTTTCAAATTTCAAAAAGCTTTTAACCTAACCTAACACAGTTTAATTTTAAGTTTAAGACGATAGTCAATGAATCATAATGACTTGCAAAATAATAAATTATCTGCCTACATCTTTTGAAAAAAGTAGGTGTGATACTCAAAAGAAACTTGAATGACATCACGCATACGGGAACCAAAATAGTTGAAAATTTGTAAATTTCCCAAAATGTATAGACTCTTCTGTACCCCCTCTCCTACATATAGCTATCATTTCAATTGAGCYGAGCAATTAATGTATGAATGTATCGATAATATGGGGCACATTATATAATTTAAATACAAAATCGAAATTCGGCTACTCGTTATAATAATATGTTATAAATTTATAATACGTATACAGTCTGCGTGTTTCAATTATTATGTCGTTGTAAATACAGGGTGATTTTTTAATCATGCTCATCCTATTTTTCCCGTTAATAGTACATTTATTGAAATTCTGATTTTTAGCATGGATTGGCATTTCCCTGTTTGGTTAAATTCGACGACGATTATTTCCGGAAATCATAAATAAATTGCGTTAACGAATTATAGTATACTAAAACCTAACCTAACCTTATTGTAGCTAAATATTTATATTAAATTTAAATGTTCACTATTTTTGTTAATTCTTAATTAAAATTAACACATCTTATTATAACAAATAACATTTTGAAATAAAATGTTCAAAAAAACATTGAAATAGTCTTTTTGCATACTACGATACTTCTAAAAATTATTAATCAACATTATTCAAGCATATATTGTGAAAAAAAAACTTAGTTATAATAGTAACAAACAATAATTTTGTAAAAAAATAAACCACTCTTAGTTTTAGTAGTTCGATTAATTATTATAAAATACATAAACACTTATATACAATACATTGATTTTTCTGATCAAAGGTTTCTTCGGGAAATCGAGTTTTCAAATAAAATCTGTAATTTTTAAGATCGATAAATCTCCATTAATAAATTTGACATGTTTTTTAGACACAACGATAGTTTTTTTTAACTTTAGATATTAAAGTGTTTGAAGTATGAAATAATTCGCGTGCGAAAACGTTAAACATTGAAACTTTTCTAATACAAAATATATTGATGATAATTATTTATTTATCAACAACCTACCAGAGAAAACCATCACTAATTAATAGTTAGTAAAATAATAACCCAAACTAACCCTAATATTATAAAATTGTGTAGGTATAAATTATGAAAATTATACGTAAAAATTAAACTTATATTAGTTATTTAGAAAATATTGAATTCAATATAATAATGCTAAAATGTTTCACTATTTTAAATTACATTCAATTTTCAAACATCAATTTTATAATATTATATTAATTCAACAACAAATCTCTATTTTTATTGTAATTTACAGTAACACCAATATTCTACGGTAACTATGTAATTTATTGGTATTTGATGGTAGTGATCAAACAATGCAATACAAATTTTTTGCAACCTCATAACAAATTATTAGTGTATTTGATTTATTTAACACTAACAATACAAATGCGAAACCAATGAATTACTTACAATGAAAAATGGGTATAATTGCAGTTTAGCTCCCAAGCGATTTTTTCGATTTTTCTTATTGAAACATATGTATTTCAACGAGTTTAGAACGATGGTGCAAAAATTAGTTGGTTCAAACCATTATTTTGGAAGTTATAGCCTTCCAAAGTATGCGGTTGTATGATAAATAGTACGTATTGCAGCGTGCGGTGCGCTTATCATATAACACAACAGCTGTTGACTTATGTTACTCTTAGGGTCTTAAGTCTCTAACTGGCCATCGAGTATGGCGACCGAAGCCGGTAGGCGGAGTGAGGTCCCTTGAGTTTGGCGATCGGAGTCGTCAGCCGAAGGGAGCCACTATACTTGTGTTACTTTTACTAACAAGGTTAAATTTACTTGTTAGGTCATCCGCCTGCCCGCAGGTCAGGTATGCTCTCCCCCCCCCACGACCCCGTAGGGTAGGCCGAGCCCCCATCTAACGAGAAGTCCGGAGGACTTGATAATTTTGTTATTTAACTCTTAGCTCTGTTTTTACCTTAAAATTTAAGTAAAATCATTTGAATGCGAGAGTACTTCATGAAACACATCACAGAATCTACCTAGTTAATATAATTATAATCCTAAAAAAAATAAAAAAAAATTAAAACGTCGTAATACGCATGCGGCGCACGATAACGTAAAATCGCATACTTTGAATTTAAAAGGCTATAACTTTCAAAATAATGGTTTGCACCAACTAATTTTTGCACCATCGTTCTTAACTAGTTGAAATACATATGTTTCAATAAAAAAAATCGAAAAAAATCGAAAAAAATCGCAAATGATGATGGTTAAATTATCAATTTCGGTTCGCTAGTTATATTATAACTACGGTAATATGGTCCCCTTAAGCTTAACAAATTCTACAAGGGGCATTATTAATTGAAATAATTAGTAAAAATGAAATTTACTCAAATTAAATAGCCATATAAACATGACTACATCCTATCTCTACTTAGACACAACCACAGAATAATAATATTCTGTGCTAACAATAATCAGTGATCGTCAATGACGACTAAAACAATTGTTTTGGGTGGCAGCATCAAACTATTGCTTATTGACTAAATTTAGCACTTTGTTGGCCTTGGCCTCATTAAAAGACAAACGAGCAGGTCACTTGAAAATTCAAATCCAATGATCGCTTATAAAGTCCTTGGATAGCCGTACTATCGATAGTTTATAATCTCCGATTGTACGGAAAACGAAACAACGAAAGTAACCTCAAAAAATAAACTTTTGAAAAACAAACTGGTTAACGACGTTAACGTTAACGGAATTTGCTGTTCATTGACTCACTGTTCAGTTCAGAATTTCAGACGTTCAGTATCAGTATTCAGTATTCACTAATTTACCATTAAATAATAATTATTAATTATTGTTTACGTAATTTTTTTGTCACTCAAACTTTTTTTCGTAGTTTAAAATTCAGATTTCCGACTTTGGTTTCGTTGTTAAAACCACGTTCACCGTTTACATCTTGTTCGCCAAGAACCAAGGATATAATCCAAGAAGTGAGTTAGGTATTTCATTATTAAGCGTTTGACATCATTAGGTGTAAATTTGTAATGCGAACAACAATTTTTATGAATTTTACAATATTTTTTATTGCATCTTGTAATAATCAAAATCAAGGTTTAAGCACTCCGTTGAAAAATTGAAAAATAGCAATCGTCACGTTTGCTTATACATTTGTTTTTAATAATAAAAAAATAGAAATATTATATAGTTACCTACTTTACCATTTTGCAAATTTTAATTTTCTGTTGGATAAATTATGAAATATTAGTTTTCCACCTACCTGATTATCATGTTATCTACAATATTGTTATGAAGACCAATCAAGCCGTTTGAAGGCTCTCACATAATTTAATTAATTTTACTACATGTATAAATAGTGGTGATGTATTTTTTTTCAGATTTAAGAAATACAAATGGGTACGGAGTTTGTTGAAGGATGGAGAATTGCTCAAACGCTGGGCGAAGGAACATTTGGCGAGTATGTTCAGATTATATTATACAATATCAAATCTTTGTATTACAATTTCGTTAACTTCGCCTTGGCCTTAAATTTATGGCACAACTTTATTAATTTTAGAATAAATAATGAGATGAGACAAAACCAGTGTCAACCATGTACTTATTGGTTATTGTTTTTTTCAGTTTTAACATTTATCTTATTTCTGTCTTTACCTGGACTGATGTTGAGGATTCCCTATCCCATATTTTTAAAGCACTGTACATTATTTCTCTATATTTTAAAAATATAAATGTAGGAAAATAAATGCTAATGAACTTCCAAGTACATAATATTACAGTATTTTTTATTTTTACTTTTGATAAAATAATCTCTGAATTTTA